GTCAACGATAGCCATGTGATGTGAGTATCAGTCACATGGAGGCAGGGCTTAAAAGCCTGAATTTTGCCTGCAACTCTCAGACTGAAGAAGTCTCTTGGAGGAGAGACGAAACATTTCATTAGAGAAGAACCCGTCCAGAGGACCTATACAATTTTATTTCTTTTTTTTTTTCTTTTTGCTGAAGAGAGTAGTTACAGTAGGGATGTGCAAATTGAAAAAAACAAGAGAAAAGTATCAGCGCCGTGTGAAAGTGTTCACGCCGAACCTCGCCGTGTCCATTTTTCATCTTGCCTTCAAGTTGCTGGAGACTGGAGGGATATGATCGCCTGAAATATTCATGAGAAAACCGCCTTCTGTGGTTCTCCACGCACTCAAGAGGAACCAAAAATGTGTTTTCTCTCGTTTTTTTTTAAAGCACCAGAATAAAAAAAAAACGTTAAAACCTGCAGAAAAGCACTTATTAGGGTTAACGCTGCTTCTTCACAAAACCACAAATTTAGAGGTAAGGAATCGTTTCTAACAAGCAGAGCCTCCCTGATTCATGACACACACACACACACACACACCAAACTGGGCTGCACAGTGATTGAAACTTGATTCATTAACACGTACACTAACATTAATAACAAAATGCCTTCTGTCATCTTGCAGTAATTGCAGCTTGAGCAGSAGAAACAGCTCCTGTGATTGGAGGGGATCTTTATTGCATTCTTATGGTCGACTGCAAAACTGGAATGTCAGACCTGTAAACACGGAAGAGGCAGGAAGAGCCACCCCATCATGTGGCGCRCACACACACACACACACRCACACGCCCAAAAACATCACGCTGAGATTACAAAATATCGTGCAGTATTGTGCAATTGTTTAAAAAAAATACCTTTAATGTGTGTTTGTGTGAACGCATGAGGCTGATGTTGGTTGGTAAAGATGTGCTGGATTCAATGAGACAAAAGCCTCTCTGCAGTGCTGCTGTTTGAATCCATCAGCCTCACGAGATACAAAAAAATAGAGATTTTGGCCCTTTTTTYATTATTTTTTTATTTTATTTTTTTGTGTGAAATTCTTGCAAAGCTGGAGTCCCCACCACCACCCCTGTCCTCACTTCCTAGTTCCCAGCTGCTGTCACAGCTAACACCCTTCTTCCTCCCTCCATTACAACCAGCGAACTCTTTATTTTTTTCGGCTACATTTTTTTGACTCCGTTCGTACGGATTTAATATGAAAGAAAACATAACAATATACTCACATTTCACCACCCTRTCCGTCGTGGATATCTTCGGCTCGTCATTCGGCTTGTTTTCGGACATTTCCACCCCGAAAGCGATATGAATTTTAAAGGATATTAGCAAAAAAAATAATGTAATGACATATAAAAAAAACGGTCCCCCCGCGCGCGCTGCTCTCGCTCGCTTTTCCTCTCTCTGTGTGTCGCCGAAACAACTCTCGAGTCTATCCCGAGAAAAGAAAAAAAAATCGGGGGGGAGACCGCAGTGAGCTCACTCGGTCCTGACAAAAATACTTGCAACCGTGGTGGGGTGGTGGAAGGAGGGGGGGTTTAAAATTTCACCGCTCGGAGCTGGAGGAGCAGCTCTGACTGACTACTCTCACTGAGCGGCGCAGTGCAGGCTAACGTGCTAGCTTCACAAGTCCCGCACCACGTGACCGGCACCGGCGCTTCTGATTGGCTGAGAGCGACGGCTCGCCTCTCTAGACGTAGTGGGAATTCTGGCTCGATTCTATGATTCGACACTTTTGGTTCAGTTCACTAAGAAAAAAATGAATGAATGAAGCTGTATTTGTCATTATCTGAAGTTAAACTTTTTAACAGTATTTCTGTATTATTTATTTCACATGTAGTCAGTTGTACACAAAGTACTTTAAATTGTTTATAAGAGGGCATGTTAAAAGGCCGTTTCTGTGCTGGAAATACGATGCAGTGCTCCGTCGTAGCAATGAGAACGTGATGTTTTCTGTTTAATCGAAGTTCAGTATGAAACAGAGCAAAAATAAAATACTACAAATACCAAAATACAGATACCAAACAATAATCTGAAGTAAAGCCGAAGTGCTTGATCACATTTAGGATACTCAAATGCATATTTACAACGCAAAATATAATAATTCCAGCAAGATTCTGTAAWGAAACATAAAAAATAATATCACCATGCTAGATATGGTAAATAAAAGGACAAACTTCTTACAAATGATGGGGGGGGAAATGTACATTGATGTCTATGAACATCTGTCTTTACTTATAATTCTGGATTTATGTTGATATTTTCCCGAAAGTATCACCACCTGTACATAATACATTCATAAGTAAATTGTCAGAGTGATTATTAGGTGTATACCTAATTGAGACATATACCTAACGATCCGATGAAAGTTCAATTTCACTAATAATGAAGTTGTAAATGGTGTAAAATCGATAAACAGTTCCATTAAAGAATATTAAAGTGCAACTATTATCAATATAGATTATAATCTTTAATGTTTTCAGATTATAAATTCTTTATTAAAATAAGCAACCTTTTTCTTTAACAAGAGTTCATTCTAATGAGTCGGCACATTGAGCCGGCTCGGTTACAACCGGCACATCTCTAGAGGTCTGCTTGTGTGTCCATTACTTACTGCAATAAACTTCAAATACAGAAAGGGATGTTCTATAAAATGAATTATTAATTGCTAAGTATAAGGCTTGCAGGTTGATGAATGACCAGCGTCAGTAGTTGAAAAAGATCCCGTGACTGATAATAGCAGCAACAATACTGTGAATACAAACGGTAAACATGAAAAGAAAGTTGAATCATTTTACATTTTCTAAATCTTACAATAGAGAGCTTTTCAATTTTGGGCACAGTGTTAAAAAAAAGTAAATAACAAACTTGTTTATTCCCTTTAAAAGTTTTACTCATAACATAAAATCAACTGGTTTGTTCAGTCAGATCAATATGACCTCAGGTGAAGAGGGCACTTTGTTGCATAAAACTTATTTAAATATCAGCTCTAAAAACAATATGTTTTCCACTGGCACCACCCTCAGGACACCACTCGTAGTTTCACTCCTTTGTTCGTGCTGCTAATAAAAACATCATCAACATCTCACTCAGGTGGAGCGTTTTCAGTTTGTTCTGGTGTCGCTGATGATAGCAGCTGTTGTGCTGCCGTGACCGGGGACGTTACGTCCAGGATGTGGTCAGTTCCGCTGGACCGGCCACAGATTTATAAAAGAAAATAAAGATTTCAGGCCGTGAAGTGGCAGAGCGAACTAAAGCGAGAGAGGGAACAGTTTGAGCTTTTTCACCCGATGAGTCACCRGATACTCAACATTTGCATAAAGGAGACCTCATCTTACAGTTGGCTGTTTTTATTTTGTAACTTTTGTGCAGATGACTGTACCCCCCCCCCCCCCCCACCTTCACTATAAATAAATTGGTGCTATTAGTGAGAACCAGCCAGGTGGCCGTGCTTAATGAAGCCCTGAATTGTTTTTTTGTTTTTTTTTAGGTTTTTCTGAGTGAGAAAGTGTGTAAGCAGGTCGGGTCAGAACATCCATTTTATCTGGGCTCAAGCTGGAGATCATTAGTTTTAGCACGCCTCGTGTCCTCACATTCCAAGCTTCATTAAACTCTGGTTGAGGCGAGAGTGTGACTCAGGTTCTTATCTTTTTCTGCTTACCTGTTACTCACCTTTGTTATTTCCCCGTTTTTCTCCCCTCTTTGCATATGCCCTTTTACTTTTTTTCTGTAAAAAAATACAAGCAAAATGGTAAATGTGGGGAGTTTTTTTTGTTTCAGGTTAAAGCTGCTGGTGGATTTTATTTMTATCAAGAAGTATGGAAAAATGAAAGCCCATCCACTTTCATGCTAAAGTTGTATAGTAGCTGGAGCCTTTTTGGGTCAAACATTAAAATAAAGGAGACTAAAGCTAAACACAAGCTGAAAAATATAAAATAAAGAACCATTAATGCAAGCTGAATTCAGAATTATGGAAGAGAATTAGTGCCACTGGAAATATAAAACGAGAATTATTGACTTTAATCTCAGAATTCTGACTTTTTTCACGAGATTAAAGTTGAGAATTCTGAGAAAAAAGTACAAATTCTGTGATTAAAGTCAAAATTCTTGTTTTATTTTTCAGTGGCCCTAATCCACTTTTAAATTAGGATTAGGGCCACTGAAGAGGATCATTGGCCCTAATCCGCTTCCGTACAGAACAAAGCATGAAAACAATAGAAAAAACATGAAAATAGAGGAAGAAAACCTCAAAATTTTAATCTTTAGTACAAAGAGCTGAAGGGAATCTTAAAATAGTTTAACAAATATAGAAAAAAATATTTATTAAATCTAAATATGTTTAAAAATGACCAAACAAATGTTGAGAAATAGTAAAACAAACCAGTAAATAAGAAAAACAAACTTAAACCTTAAACTAAAAATTTGAATAGCTGTACAGAACGTAAAAATGGTTAAAGAAGCCTAAAAATAAGTCAGAATAACAGCAGGACATGATCAAAACTTTCACAAACTTCAACTTTTAGATTTTACAAAAATGGTTCAAGATGTCAAAAAGCTGAATAATTCTGTAATAAACTGTTATTTGTGTGTGTGTGTGTTTTATTTAGAGTTTAAATGGCCTTTAGGTAGAAGTATATTAAGGTAGCGCAAGTTCAAAAAACAGTAAGATTTCATGAAATTTCAATGTATTTCAACGAGGGGAAAATGGCTTAAAAGCCTCATATTTCAATTTTTTTAAGAGATATTAATACCAAAAGTAATAGCATCCTTCCCAAGAAGGAGCCAAACATTTTGATACTAAAATTGCTGAAAATGCGTAAAAACTGCGGAACGAGTTAGACGCTGAAAAATGTGCAGAGGAAAAAATGGATCGTCTCAAAAGCCTCTCAAACACTTCATAGCATTCATACAAATATAAATAAATGACCTCGTGTGTATCGCTCAGAACATGTGTTGGAAGTGACTCTCAGCTACTACCACACCAAATTTTAGCTCCACATCTGTAAAATTCATTAAGGTAAGGTCAATTATCTGTTGTCGCCATCTTAAATAGACCATATTGTAGTTACGAATGCGCAAAGCGACTGGCGTGTTCAGTTCATCTATGTGGATAWGAGCAGATAAAAATAATACAATTTAAAATGAACTGAAAGGTTCTGTGGAAAAGTTATGAACAGTTATCTTGTGGACCTTTTGGTGCAAACGGGGTTCTAGATTGGAAAGCTAACAGCTAGCCTGAGCTCAATTCTATTTTATGAACCCTGAAGTCACAATTCAAAGTTTCACAGTTTAACTGCATGTTGTAAGATTTTGCTGTTTGCAGTGGTGGAYACAGTTCCCCTAAAGCACTAAAGCACTAACAGGGGAACTAATTTCTTGATTAGTGCTTTAGGGCTTTTGCTATTTTTTAAATGCATTAGTGGATTAGCACTTGCTAAATTTATGGGCTAAATTTAGAAACACTAACTGAGGTCTTTAAATGTTATTGATCAACATTATTGCTCACAGTTGAGGATGAAAGATGTCACACATTTTGTTCATRCTGTATGTGTGTCAGTTATGTACAAGGTCACGTGTCAAAATYAAGGCCCGCGGGCCAAATGTGGCCTGCGGGTGACTCCCGTTTGGCCCACCAAAGGACAACATTCAGCACACRGTAAATATTGTCTCATGTTGGCTCTGAAGAATGTTCCACGTCTCAACTGATTTTAGTGCTTTAGAATTAACTTTTGCTAAATTTTTCAGTGAGTTAGTGCTTTAGAATTAGGGGACCTAAATATTTGAGTTAGTGCTTTAGGGCTAATGCAACTAATATTTCGATTAGTGCTGCCCAYCACTGGTTGTTTATAAGCGTTCGGGAACAAACTGATGGCAATGTAAAGATTTATAAAATCAGGTTTGCGTTTACATTATTTGATTTTGGARTTGTTTAAAGATGGCAGACAGATTTTGGTAACGTTCAAACTGTCAGAGCAGAGGAGGAGGATTCAAACTGTCTTTTTTGTATTTGTGGGGGGGAAAGTTTCATTGAGTGACATAGCAGGAAACTCCCTCTTATCTGAGCTGCCCCTGACAATAGTCCTTCTGTTCGTCATTACACTGTGAGGCGAGAGCGACCAGCAGGAGCAGTGCTGTAGAAATGAGTCAGACAGGTAAGCAAACCATTAATAATTCACTATCTAATTAGTGCATGCACCTACTAATGAAGATGATTAACAACATGAGTCCTCACAAGTCGATTAATGGATTGTTTTTAGCAGAATAGTTTATGTCCAAATGTCTAAAGGTCTCAGTTAGGTAGAAGAGATGTTTATTTTTTTCTACATACTTTTTACAGAGGACCTGCTAATCGTCTACGAGACAGAGGCGAAGCAGTGGGCGACCTACCTTCAGTCAGTGTTCGCCGGTCCAGTCTCGGAGGATGGGATCTGCTGCTATGACATCACAACGGTGTCCAACCGAAGCGACGACTTCTTCGGGCTGTCCTGCTACAGCTGCAAGCTGCTGATCCTCAGCAAGGGGATGCTGGAGGGCCTCTGCCAGCTGCGGCGCTTCTTCTTGTCCCGAGTCTTGAGTCCCGCGGACCGGGTGGTGGTGCTGCTGTGCGGGGTGGACAGCCTGAACCCCCTGCTGAACCTGGTGCCCCTGAACGCCGACGAGTGGCTGCAGATCTCCAGTGAACAAGATGCCCCTGACTACGTGTCCAGTGTGGTTAGCATTATAAAGAAAGGTAGTCGTTCAGTTTTACTTCATCTCTTTATTTGAGACATTTTTGTATTTTCGTTCAGTTTAGTTCTSCAATGGTTAATTAGTTGCAAACATACATGCAGTGATAGTGATTTAGTTAGTCCTCTTTAATTAAATCTCCATCACGTTGGCTTTATATGTTGTTTCTCTCTTCTACTAAAAGTTATTGTTTGTGATGCATAAAAACCCCAAATTAATTACTTAAAAAACTGTATACACCGAATAAATTTTTCAAGCACATCACCACTTTTTTTTATTTTGGGATGATGATGATGATGATGGGATGCACTTGAGACTAAAACACAAAAGTTAAGGCTAAAAGGCTATAAAGTATGACAATTATGCACAATATATGGGGTTTAAACAATCAAACTTGATTAATACTGTGTTTAGTAAATTCTTTATTAGCTATAGAGTTAATGCTGTATATGGTAATATATATTAGCTTGGGAACTAATGCTATATACATATTAGCTCTGGAGCTAACACCATGTATATACTAACTCATACGCTAATGCTATATTTTTTGTCTCAGTGGTTAACACCTTAATATTACCATTAGCTCACTGCTTTATATCACCATATATATTAGTCCAGGAGCTAACACCATATACAATAATGTACATACTAACTCGGAAGCTAATGTTATATATTTTAGCTCAGGAGTCGACACGATAATTTGCTTTATATTAGCTTAGTAGGTAATGCTATATATCACCATATACAATCCTGATCAAAATCTTAAGACCAGTCAAAAAAGTGCAAGAATTTGCATTTTGCACTATTGGATCTTAAGAAGGTTCTAAGTAGAGCTTCACAATGTTAAAAGAAGAAATCAGTGCAAGAGACAAGAACTTTTGAGCAGGGAATTTTCTGAAAACTGCATTTACACTCAAACATGACTTTTTTTTCAGCTGATCAAAAGTTTAAGACCATAGCTCAAAAAATAAACAAACCTGAAAACCACCCAAAACAGAAATAGAAGTGTCAAAG